TTGCATCGGCAGGCGGACTGTCAACCACTGCGCCACCAGGGAAGCCCTTCCTCTCACTTTTGACAGATCCTTGAGCAGAGTTCTCTTAGATCTTGTGAGCCGGCAATAGAAATATTCCCAGTGTTTAATTCTTTACGCAGATGTGTGCTGAGCTATGGTGTGCTCCATACTGGGAACTTGCAGCCGTGAACCGTAGTGCGTACCTGGAGGGCGCAATTCAGTGGAGGGAAACGGGGCTTAGACCAGTGCCTGTGAATTAGGTGGGGGGCAGTGCCATGAAGAAACCTCAAGTAGCATAAAGAGAGAAAGCTTGGTGGGAAAGAGCCTTTCTTTTAGCATCTTGCTTTCTGCCTTTGCTCTGGAATGTTCTGCCTCAAACATGTTATCAGTTAAATTGTGTAGGGTCCAGTACCTCTCTGAGAGGCAAATCAGGAGAGCCACAAGCAAAACTTAGGAGGTTTGTGTTTTGTTTCTGCTTTGTTTTGTTTTTAAAGGGAGGCAATGAAAACAGTTCTTTCACACTTGTATGTTTAAGTGACTCTGTGGATATTTGTTCTTGGCTGGTAACCCATAACAACTTTTTTACCCTGCTTTATTTGAAGGCTCTTGAGATCTGTCAACAGAGAAACTTTGTAGAAGAGACAGTTTATCTTCTGAGTAAGTAGCTTTTATTCATTTTGGTCCCCATAAACTAAGGAATGGGGTGACAACGTGATGTAAAGTGTGTAAGAATGGACATAGGTTTTAGACCAAAGTAACACAGAGGTTAGAGCCTGATTTCCATTAGAAATTGAATATTTAGTAAAGGAGACTTCACAGCTCAGTAGAGAAGGTAGCATCATTTAATAAACGCTACTGAGATAACAATTAGAATTGTGTAATAAATGACCAAAACTGTATCAGTTCACACCTTACAATATAAATCACAATAAACTGTAGATGGGTTGAGAAGTTTTGTGTTTTTTTTCCCCAATTATCATAAGAAGGAAGTCAGAATCTGACAGACCTTGATTCAGATTCCAGATCTGCCATTTAGTAGCTGTATGACCTTGGCAAGGCACTGACATTTCTATGTCCTCTTTTATAAAACAGAAATATTAGTAGAACATACCTCGTAAGATTATAGTGATGATTACATGAAATAATTCATGTGAAGCGCTTAAATGAGTACTCAGGACAAAGTAAACACCCAGTGAGTAGGAAATACTGATTTTACTGAGTTACAGACGTCATATAAGGAAATATGTTTTCTGTCATAGCCATCAAACTATGTAAACAAATTAAGAGATATGTGATTTCCCTTAAAATGTTTTATTACATTATCCTAAGTGTATTTCTCACATTTTGCTAGGCCGAATGGGTAACAGCCGAAGTGCCCTGAAGATGATCATGGAGGAATTACATGACGTCGATAAAGCGATTGACTTTGCCAAGGAACAGGATGATGGGGAACTCTGGGAAGATCTGATTTTATATTCCATCGACAAACCACGTAAGCAGAAAAGCCATCTGCAATCACAACCTCTTTCTCTCCGTTTAGCCAGTTGTGTCTAGAGTAGGAATCATCTCAAGATGCAGTGAGTTAAAAATACGGTGAAGTGTCTATAATAAAAGTAGGCCAGGTACAGAGTAATGATTTCCAGAACTCTTCCTGTGCAGGGAAGCCTGGAGCCTCATCACTTCGTATTAGCTGAACTTGATAAAGAACACTTGGTTGAAGCATATTTCTACCTACTGCACCCAAATGGAATAGAAGATTTTGGTTTTGTTTGTGCACAGAGGGCATTTATTTTGAAAGTGTATAGTCTAGCCCTTATCGAGTCTCTTTATGGAAACCCATAACCGTTACTGGACATTGACCATATATGGAGGTTTGCTACTGTAGCGTTGAGCCTCTCTTTCCCGCCCTGTTTTATCAGTGCAGCACCAGGAGCGTATGTATATCTGCTGCCTCTCCTTGACCATCTGCCTTGGGTCTCCCATTTTGGAAGGAAACAAGGGCAGTCACCTGACAGTAACGCAAGTCCTCTTTTAAAGACATAGATATGATTCAGAAACTGGCAGTCGTGGTTTAAAATCTTTCCCCTTCCCTTTTTTATTTTTTGGTCGGAAGCCTTATCTGTTTCAAGATTTTCAAGTTCTAGAAACCGCTGTTAACGATTGGTTTTTAATAAGAGATTCAAGAGGAGGGTGTTATTCAAGTCCACTTCAGATTAAGGTAGCTACATGCACATATAGCTTGAAGAATCTAGTTTAGCATGATAGAGTGGTGGTCTAAGGATCTTAAAGGAGGCAAAGTTGGGGTAATGAAACACACTGTGAACCTGGGCCTGCCCTGGGTTTGAATTTGGGTTCAAAAATCGCTAGCTGTGTGACCCTGGATGAATTCATTAATCACCCCATTTTCCTTTTCTGGAAAATGGGAACAAATAGCATTCCTACCTTGGCAAAATAGGAGAAAAGTATATGATAGCTGAGCTACAGTAAATTCTCAAATACTAGTTGCCCCCCTTTGACATTACAAACTGTGTTCTGAAGTAATCGTTTGTTCTCCATCTCATTTTTTAATCCCTGCTCATTTAGCTTCTCCTTCGAGGAAGGTAAAGGAAGATTAGTTCCTGGGAGGGTTTAACAATTCAAATGCTTTTTAACACTTACTTAAAGGAAATAACTTTTGCCCTGAGTTACTTTCGACCTAAAATTGCATTAGCTACACTGCTTATATGTTGTTTTCCGCGGTGTCTTGTAGCCTTTATCACCGGCTTGTTAAACAACATCGGCACGCATGTTGACCCAATTCTACTGATTCACCGTATTAAGGAAGGAATGGAGATTCCTAATTTGAGAGACTCCTTGGTTAAAATTCTGCAAGACTACAATCTGCAAGTAAGTATCTTTTCTTGGACAAATGAGCATATGCTGAGTGAGCTGACTGACTACTGGATAAACATTTCTGGGGCTTATTTTGGACATCAATTCAATTTGATAGTCACATTTTACTTAGGCCCAGATATTTGGAATACCATTCAAACAGAGAAATTAGAAATACCAACCACCCTTGGAGGAAGCCATCGGTATTTCTTAACTATCCCCGGATTTACTCTTCTTGATGAGCAGGGATTCTTACATTTATGGGATAAATATAGCACGGCATTTGGGAAGGTGCAGGAGTAGTTACAGTGGCTATTAGATCAGACCACCCAAACCACTTTTAAGTAGAATGAGCATTGTGTCCATTTGGAGAAATGAAAAAAAATTTTTTTTTTCAAATAGCTTGATCATTTCCTTGAAGCCACTCAGTAACCTCTTGCCTGAAAGATGTTAAAATAACAGAATTTTATTTTACCTTTTGTCTGTTTTCTAGAGTATTACAAGCTTACTGTCTGCAGTAGTTCAGAATTTGTGATCAGAGCCATGGAACTTATTATCTTCTTATAAATAATTAATATGCTAATCACAAAGCATCCCGACCTTCCTTAAAAAGCCGCTAACAGCGACTGTATTTCGGAATGCTGGTAGCTTCCAGAGACCTTGAAACTATTTAAAGCCCATCTCTTGAAAAATTCAGACTGTTCTTTCTCTGGCTCGTTTGAAAATGAGTTTTTGGTAGAATGTGGATGAAATGGCTTTCCTGGAAACATTGAGATTTTGCAGGTAGAGCCGAAAGACAAGGTCGTGGGCAGAGAAGTGGTCTCCAGGGTAGGAAAGGAGGAGCATGTGATGACGACTTGTGGGCTTGTCGTCACTGTGAAGGGTGCAGAGCTGGGGGGCCGCCTGCTGAAGGAAAAGGAGGAAGATCCATGGCATCAAAAAGAAAAGTCAGAGCTGTAAAGGGATGAGAGAGCTGGAGGGCCAGGATCTTGTGGCCAGGGAGGAGGATACTGTTACGTGAAAATCTCCAAAGGAGTCGTTGGGAAGATGTTCAGAAAGTGCGGTGAAGGGAGACGTCCGGTGGAGTTAGTCAAGAAACCATGAGGGCAGGAGTCGTCCAGGGTCCAGCTTCCTCCTTGAACTGGGAGGTTAACCCTGCAGCCCACAGGTGACTGTGGTCTTACTGGGTAACACAGCTTTAAAGAGGAGGTCTTCCTGAGGGTGGAAAGTGACAAAACAAGGGGCCTTGGCTTAGGAGGCTTTTGGGAAATTGGGGGTCACGGGAAAGAAATGGGTATTTGGTTTCGGCAAGTAGGTTGACGATCTGTTCTACAAAAATCTTCCAGATGAACAGGTATTTATCTGTGGTGGAATTCGGAGGCTTGCAGGTGAGGTGAGCCAGGGAAAGGTTATTGCAGGAAGGAAGAGGAAGGCCAGGAAGGAAGGAGGAATGTAGGAATGGGTTAATGGATAGGAGAGGTGACATGAAGGGCTTGTGCTTTGTGCAGCACCCGAGGGATACAGAAGAGCCATCCAGGCAGCAAATGATACACTTCGTTCTGAAGCGTGCATCGGCTTTGGGGAAAGCAGTTCCAGTGTCAGACCTCGTAAAGCTCGGGGCATGAGTGAGCTCGATAATGATGTGTATCTCCTCAGTACTCGCCACCCCTGGGTCTGCCTGGATATGCTCCAAGTTGCAAATTCCAGTTTGTTGGGAAGTCATTTAAGTGTCTCTGAACAAGTCTACCCCCGGGAAGGTGACAACATAATTCCCCCTCCTGTCCTTCAGCTCTACTATGTGAAGCCTAGCCTCTAGGTTGAAAAACGTGCCTACAAAAACACCTGGGTTCTTTCTGGAGAACCAAGCTCTTCCTAGGTTCTTTCTGGAGAACCAAGCTCAGGGGCACCACTGGGTCTCACTGCTCATTAATGTTTTATCAATGTACTTGCATAGTTCGGAGTCAGCCGGGAATAAAAATAAAATTATTATTAGGTGCAAAGTGAATTCTGGATAAAAAAATTAGCCACTAAACAGCTGCTAAATCAATATTTTATCCTCTTAACTTTTAAATGTAATGAGAGCTTTTCCTTAAGATGTGTAAGTGTGCAGTTGGTGGTGTGTTAAGGAGGCCGGGGGTTACTTTGCCAGTGAGTCCGAGGAGTGGTGGCAGCCTGTAAATCCCCGACGGGGCCGGGGTGGGGTGGGGAGTCTCCTCTGGCCCTCAGACATCTTGCTGGAGGATGCAGAGAGAAAATGCTCTACTGGGGCAGGTTGTTCAAAGAATCCCAGGAGGTACTTCCTACTTATACATGAAGAAAGAATTTTGAATTATTTTCTATGAAAAAGGTGACCTTTTTTATTAATAATAGAAATTTATTTTCTTTCTCTAGAAATCACTGAAAATAAATCTATTCATAGAGCATTTTGAAGCTTCCAGAAAGGTTTCACATTCATTTAATTTTTTATTCTGTCTAGTGTCTTCATTTGTTTCATAAAACTGTAGTCGAGTTTCACATGTTTTAATGGGATAAAAAATTCCCAAGATTTTGCAGGTCCATGAATTTGCAAGGATCTGGACCCTGCTGTGCATGAGGGCAGGCAGTGAGGCGGAATGACCGTGGGGGACATTAAGAACCATTCAGTAAATGTTAGGGAAAGGTTATCACAGGGCTTCTCAGCACCTTTTTTTTTTTTTTTTTTTTTTTTTTTTGCGGTACGCGGGCCTCTCACTGCTGTGGCCTCTCCCGTTGCGGAGCACAGGCTCCGGACACATAATAGAAATTTATTTTCTTTCTCTAGAAATCACTGAAAATAAATCTATTCATAGAGCATTTTGAAGCTTCCAGAAAGGTTTCACATTCATTTAATTTTTTATTCTGTCTAGTGTCTTCATTTGTTTCATAAAACTGTAGTCGAGTTTCACATGTTTTAATGGGATAAAAAATTCCCAAGATTTTGCAGGTCCATGAATTTGCAAGGATCTGGACCCTGCTGTGCATGAGGGCAGGCAGTGAGGCGGAATGACCGTGGGGGACATTAAGAACCATTCAGTAAATGTTAGGGAAAGGTTATCACAGGGCTTCTCAGCACTTTTTTTTTTTTTTTTTGCTAATTTGCATTCGGAATCCAAGGGTCAGATTTACAATCAAGTAGACAGCATTTTAAAACTTATTTGGCCACTGAAAATGCTTTGGGAGATGACTCCTTAGTGAATTGCTAACTGGAAAGAGAAGGTACAGAGAAAGTTGGGGGGAAAAATTTCTTCTGGTTCTAATTTCATGTTTTCTAAAATGCAACAACTTTTCTCAGTTGAAGTTTAGCATGAGGCATGTTAGATGTCTATGACATCATTAAAGTTAAGGAAAAACCAACCACATTATCAGTGTTTCAACTGTTTAACTTATTTTCATATTTTTATACCTTGTTACATTGTTAGCACAATGCTTCAACAAGATTTAAAAGCTTCAGTGAAGTAAGAAGGATAAACCCCTTATCATACTTCATAAACCTAAAATGTTTCTAGGTCTGATTTCAAGGACAAAGGGCACTTGTTTTGACAGAAATTATTTATGAAACAATATGATATGATATTTCTATTTTTACATTAAACTGACCACAATTTCCAAATTATTTTTATGCTGTTTCATATAAGACATTTTATTTACAAATTTAGCATTTATTTATTGTATTTATTTAGCATTTATATCCACTTCCATTGCTTTTTTTTTCCCCTCTTAAAACACTTCTCTTTTGACAGTCTTATTTGACAGTCGTTTTCAGTAATGATCCTTAAGGAACTGTCATCTCCATTTTACATGTAAGAAGACTGAGTCTCAAAAAGTTTTGACTCGCCAGCCTGGGAAGGTGAGGAACTGGGTTTGAACTCAGATACTCTGACTAAATGTGTTTTTCTCACTAGTTGTCCCATTGGTCTCTGGAGATGAATTCACTGTGCCGGCACGTTACAACACAGGAATATATAGGATTGTCTTGGAAGATGAACGGGCAACCTGTTGTCTTTAAAGAGCGGTGGACATGGTATTTGCAGACGTGGTCCCGGCTTTGCCATTAACAAGCCTGCTGACCTTTGGGGAGGGCACATACTCTCTCTGGGTGTCCATTTTCCCATTAGATTAAATCAGTATTTGTTAAGCCTGGCTGCACACCAGAACTATCTGAATGCTTTTCTTAAATTACCAAGTTTCAGGTACCACCCCAGATCTACTGGAGAGGATTAGGGACTAGGTCCTTAGACCACTTCGGTGTTTCTTATACACTCAGCCTGGCACTGGGCAATGCATTGACATTTAGGAGCTTCTAGATTAGACTGTCTCTGAAGTATTTCTCTCAAGTTCTCAGTACGGTCGTTTCGTAAGCAAGCCTTTATATAGCGAATGCAGCTGCGTAGTCTTAGTGATATTTCTATGGAAATCATCCATAATACTTATTTTGGAATCTGTAATAAAGTAGCTTAGATTTTTCAGCATAAGTTTTTTAAGTTATATGTTTGATTGTTTATAAACACATTTATTTAAATATTTGTGTGCCTACTGTGTTAGATCCTGTGCTGGGTAGGTACTTACAGGGCTTCCATGTGTTGTCTCAGGGACCAGGAGATGAGTAGAATGCAGCTCGAGCAGCTCATGATCTGAATGAATATTTCTAGGAGAAGCAAAAAGCTTTAACACGTCTCGTTAGACTTCACACATGTACATGAACACGCACACAGGTAAACTGACTCCAGACATCTCTGCGTCCATCAAAGTTCTTTTCCCATATTTACATTTGCTACAAACTCCATGTGCCTTTAGCATTGCCCCATAGGTCTCTACTTTGAAACCCAGAGACAAATGAATTAAGAGGAAATAGCGACTTTTTTCCTATCTGCCTTTTTGGGGGGCCCACATGGGTTTCTTTTTGACCCCCAGTGCATAAGCCCTTAATTTCTTCCAAGAAAGAGTTTTTAAATTTATATATCCCCAAAATAAACTTTTAAGATAAAATCTATTTTTTTTCCTTTAAAATTATTTCAGTTTGGCTTCATCACAGCTTTTAGGTGACACAGGTAGCCTGGGACAACCAACTATAGCTTCTTTGCTCAATCCGGTACATGCCTACTTTGTGCTATTGTAAATGTCAATGTGATTGCATTTATAATTCTGTTTTGAACTCCAGCGTGAGGCCTTAGCGTCTTTGTCTTTTCCTTCTTATTTCTCTGCAATTCATCACCTTGATAATAATCCCAACAAAAAGCAAAGCTTTTTCAAGTAGAATTTAAATCCCACTGCATTGTGGCCTAAATGATGGATCAGAAATTAGGTAAAATGGTTTCTAGGTCTAGCTCTGGTATCTTACTGGGGGCTTCTAAAACCAGGTAGCTATCTCACATGCGATGCCGATGATAAGCACTACAGTATGAACAAGGCAATGTCAGCAAAACGTTCAACATTTCAAAGACTCTTTGAAAATAGAAATCTCAGAAACTTGGCAATCTTGTATGGCACTTTTCCCATGGCAGCTGTTTTTAATGAACCGTAATAACTTTGCTGATGTACAGTCCTTTTTGCCTTATAAAATGTGAGTCTGGTGCTTTGCTTTTGCTTGGAATTATTATCAATGATGATGAACTGCAGAGAAATAAGCAAAAAGAGGGAGAGTCTTGTGTTAGTTTTCAACAGCTATCTTATAAATATGTTCTTATTTAATCTTATAATAGAAGAAGCTACAACTGATTGTCATGAAAACGATGAAAAAGAAAGAATTAAGGTAACATTAAACAAAATTTAGAAAAACTGAGAACTATGGAGGGAAACAGTGGAACGTTAAGGAAACTAGAGTGGCTGAGAAGGAGATAGGAAGTCGTTAGTAACATACAGAGCTCTACTTGTGTATCTTCCCTTCTCCTGGCTATGTGCCTCTGAATACTCAAGTTTTTCCTAGAAAATACTTTCTGTGGGCGGACAGATTGTGCCTGTTTAGAAAAATGTAATCCTGGTGAAGAAATGGTTCCTTCTTAGTTGGTGTTGGTGTTTTCTCTTCCCTGTTTTCTTTTTTAAGTTTGCAGACACCGTGGCTTCTGTCTAGACTGCCAGGCCCACCATTCATGCCATGGGCCTTAAAGACCCACTCAGGGTCATAGCCAGCTCTTTTTGAAGCATTTTGCTGTGACTGTGACACTAAAGTTTTTATTTTAGTATTAGAGGCTGGGCAGCTAGATACGTTTGCTTATAAATTTTCTTAAAGTTTACCAACGTTAGTATTTCTTATTTTTCTCTTCTTCCTGTATGCTTTCGTGATGTCTGTTACAGTTTTAATGTCTTTTTAAAATGAATCTGAAAATTTCAATTTCTAGCAGCATTTTAAAGAATAAAACATAATAGGCAGGGTCTCAATTAATGTAGAAACAGTAAAATCATGTAGTTTCCTGCTCATCAGCTTTAGAAATGGTGGGCATAGAACTTTGGACATCTGTTTTCTTGGCTCATGTAACTAGGCGAGAAACCGTCTGGGTGCATTCACCCAATACCTGTGCTCCTCGGGATTTGAGAGGAGGACGTGTTATCATAGCCGATTGGGGACGGAGGACCACAGCTGACCGCTTCCAGTTCCCTCCCCTGGTGGCGTGAATTGAAAGCATGTGAAAACAGAACGTCAACGTGGGTTTTAGAGTTGAGAGTGACTTTGGTGTGAAAAAGGTCAGGATGCAGCTCTGCCTTTGCCGTGACCCAGAGCTGGATGGCACGGAGGCGGCGATGTCTTCATTGTGTGACTTTCCATGGCACTTCCACAGAGCCTCACAGAACCACGGGCACTAAGACCCGCTGGGCCAGAAGAGGAAGATGTGGGCGCTGCACCAGAGTCTCCCAGCCCTTGAGCATCTCCCTCTTTGAAAAGCGGCATCTGGCTTAAGCACACCTCACAACTTGCAATAAAATACCGCCCCCCCCCCAAAAAAAAAAAAAAAAAAAAAAC